ATTTTCAATGTGAGTCAACAAACGCGATGACATGGCCTTTCACCCATGACCTGTCTGGAAAGGGTTATGATACAGCTATGATGTACATAGTGTAAAGAAATTTTGTATGTACATTTAACTTGTTTTGAATATATTTTTATAAAACTCAACAGCATAAGTGAATTATACATTGATACTGTTGTGATAAAAAAAAAGTGAGAGAGAAGAAAAGGAATAAGTGTTTAAGAGAAAAATAGTTCAGCATGTCAGCTGAATTCTAAAGCCTAAATGGACTTTTGACAAGAAGAAGAGAACTGTATAATATTTAAGATACAACTATGATATACATAATGCAAAGAAATTTTATACATACATTTAACTTGTTTAGAATATTTTTTTTTTAAACAAGGGGAGTGCGTGCTGTTCATTTATCATCAAATTTATCACCACTATACAAGAATCCTTTGCCTAACACACCCATATACTTACTAATTCTGTTTAAATTGTCCTATGGACTGCATCTCTTGAAACAAATTGCACTTGTGCACATCCTTTTTTCTGCCCGTATCAGATTAATTTCCTACTTCAAGGGAGAAGAACATACCTGTTCCAGAAATAGTGCGGTACCTCACAAGTATGCTTTGTTTTCATCTCAGAACACACCCGTTCATTCTGGGCAGTCCCATTCCACTTGGTTTGTGTGCCTAAACTGGCCCCTACACCTATTCAATGTCGGATTCTAACTTAGTGTGAGTAGAGGTAAGACCACAACAGAAATTAACATTTTCTTCCACTGAAAATGTATTTTCAATAGGTACTTACCTCCTCTAACACACTTCCTACCCTTCCTTACAAATTCATACTAAGATTTCTTGTAATTCAGTAACAAGAAATAAATGCAAAAAAAAAATTGCTGAAACAAGTGAATGCACACAGTAAAATATAACTGTTTAAAAAAAAATTGAAATGGCAAAGAAGAACATTCATAAATGATAGCCACATGCAAAAAAACGCACATTTTAAGAATGCTGTGCCAATTGAGAAAGTAAGGATTGAGGGGAAACATCAGTGTGAGCTAGCTCTATCAGTATAGGTGGTGCAATACTATTGGTGGAGAGTAGTCACATGATATGTACATATTCAAAAATGGGTGAAATTGATGAGGTATATAGACTGGTGCACTGAGTCCAAAATTTTTTAGTGATAATTATTGGGCACAAAGAAGATCGAATAGCTTAGAGTGAGACAAGGTAAGTACCTATCAGAAATACATTTTCAGTGTAAGAAAATGTTAACATTCAAACTACCACCCAACTGAATTTTCTGTGCTATAAATCTCATGTCGAAGAGCATTATATCAGATTGAAATTAATTATCCATAAGGTGTCAATGCTGCCTATAAGTCAAGACCTGACGGTCCATTAGTTTACTTTTGAACTGAATGTCCAGAGAAAATGTGGAGGTGCCAGTTCTAGCTATAAGATTGTACTGGAGAAGTATATTTATAAAGAATCATTTGTCTTCAATCAAGTTACTAACTAACTCGCTTGAGCAGCAGCATTTATAGTGTATGCATACAACAGTGTGGTAAAACTATCATTGGTTATTGTGTGTGCAGCAACATTGTAAAACTAGCATCATTTATAGTGTACAACAGTGTAGTAAAACAAGCATCATTTATAGGTTGTACAAAAATGTAATATAACTACCACTATTTATAATGTGTACAACATTTTGGTAAGACTAGCACCATTTGTAGTGTTTACTACAGTGTAGTAAAACTAGCATCATTTAATATGCACTGTCTACTGTTTGTTAAACAAAATGTTTGAATTTTGCAATTTAAGAGTTTTCTAATTTTTTCATAAATGCATGATGTGCTTTTACAGTGTCTTCAAGTTACGTACATAATAATAATACATATTTCATTATAAGCATGGTATTGGTATGGAATACAATGTGAAACCTGTGATAATTGTAGCAGAAAAATAATTTATCTCAAAGTATGATATCTTGGTATAGTGAGCAGTGTAAGAATTAAAAGTTTTTGTTTAAAACTTCAATGTGTGTTAAATTTACTAGTTTTAAAAAATGTGTTATCCTTTATATTCAAGTACGATTTCCTCAAGGGTAGATAAAAACAACTTTATCTAGATTTGATTTCATTATGGAAGTAATGGTATATGTATAACTGACAAGTTTGCAGCTCTAAAAAAATGTCAGAATGCACTTGTTTTTTTCACATGTTCTTCTTTTACAAAAATCTTTCATTAAGCTTGTCTACTGATTAGATCTAACGAATCATTTGAAAGTTACTTTTCACCAATTCTGCCACACAGACAATTTCAGCAAATTATTTGAATATTGCTAGACTTATTTTGTAATACAGTGCATTAATAGATCTTTTTCTTTACTTAGTCGATCTCAGTCTCCGCTAGTTACAGGATCTTCACCTCGGAGGTTTACCTTTACACCTCCTGGCCGATCTTGTTGGACACAGGCCACTCCCGGGTCCTCTGTACATAATGAAAGCCTCCGTGAACTGATTGAGCCTTTAGCTCCTGATGTTTGCCTAGAACATGTCTGGTCTGAGCCAGATAGGTAAATAACATTAAATGGAAGTAGTGAAGCTGAATAAAGCTATTGAATTGTTCATTGTAAATTTTGGTGATACTTGCATGAAAACCGTGTAATTTGTAAAGAAGTAAGATAGCTTTTAAGATGAATGTCTCGATGATGACTTATGATATGGAATTGTTTGATGTATGTATTTCATTGTGAAACTTAAATACTTCATTCTCATTTTTGTTTTGCATACGTTAAAATAAAAATGTTATGAAAGCATACATGGAATCTCTTATCAAAATGTAACAATTTATGAGCAAATATATATATATATATATATATATATATATATATGTGTGTGTGTGTGTGTGTGTGTA